TCACAGGCTTTCCTCTGGTTCGCAGATTTGCTATCTTATTATAAGCCCAATAAAAACTCTGAAGTATTCTTGATGTTAGATTTTCGAAGGTGCAAACGCTTATTACTTAACACCGACTGCGTGGTCGTTGTGAAACGCTGAAGGGAGGGAATCCCCAAAAACGACGCTATGACATTCACCTAAATAACCACAGAGTTTATTCATAGACGTTGAGGTAGGATTGTTAAAGACCATTACGGTAATATCAAGCGGCGCCATCAGTTTACACATTTGCCCTCCCTTCTCCGTGATGTGTTGAGTCTGTCCTATTTCCCACAATATTTATTCCTTGAAATCCTAAGTTTCAATTCCATTGGCATCCTTAAGCTACAGAACTAGCGTCATTACATTTTGTCAATAAGTATTGGAGTTATTGTAAGCGGTATGGTTGGTTCTAGATTTTTTCGCACGGTTTATTCATGGAAAATGAAAGCCTGTTCCCTTGAGGGCTGATTCTTCCTATTGTCCATCAACTTGACAAGTTGAGTGGGCAAATATGTGGGGCTATACTGAACAATTTTTACATGCCAGCCAAAAATTTGGTGACTAGTTCCAGCTCACAAAACCATCGAGGTGTAATCAAAATTAAATGCCGTATGAGGCGGAAATATGTGAAATCGGGCCACAGTATTCCACAGAACTTTCGTGCGTATTAGCTCGCTGTAAACAACTGAATCGCCGGTAAGCAAACCGCCTTCAAATAGCCACGTCCTTACTTTGGGTGGTGTTTTCCTTAGGGGCGCACTTCGACGCACCAGCAGTTCAGAATATCATTCACCAACATCTAGTGATCCTGGGAACAGAAAAATTGAAGCATTCATGCCTGTCACAACAGGAGGAAAGCAGTGGTTTTGCAGAGCGAAAGGATTTTGAAAGTTTTCCAATTGTCACATCATATTATTGACCAAACGAGAACAAAGAAATGATTCCATATAAGTGGTTATAGCTATTCGACTACCGCAGACTGCGTATGTCCGATTTCCAATCTAACGGACGATAAAACGCTCTGAGTTTAAACTACGTTTACTCATATTCTTAGTGCAAAATAAACTAAAATCAGTCATTTTGACTAAATGGTCATCCTTTTGGTGGAAATGGATGAGTATAGTTGTGTATCTAATCGTTCTGAGGCCCCAGGTGACATTGACAGGACTCGCCTAAAGAATGGTGCTAAATATGACCCCATTACCACCCGTAGTAACCAAGAACGCTGGTGTAGCTTACGTTTTCGTCGACTTTTAACGTAGCATCAAAACCGAAACAAGATCTGGACAGTCTGACGTACAGCTGCATCATTTTACATATGACGTTTCTTGTTAGGTGGTTCACGGGGACATTATCTACAAAAATGAACAGATATTTGCAACCGGCACAAAACGTTTGAGATGGCGAACGCACGTGTATAGAGAAGCTGCCATCACTGATGTCCTTATGACGCATTTAAAGATATCCTTTCAAGGAAAGGTGAAATATAACCGTATCCTGATTGTTCTTTTTTGAGACACAATCACTGTTTAGTCTTAGATCTGAATACTTCACTTCTGGCCGTGATTCTGCTGACCGTAACTGAACTACGAAGCAACGTTTCCATCATTTCATCCCAATGGTACTAACTTCAAGCAGTTCCTTGCCTAACTGGTGAATAGATGGTTAATTTTCTGAACCATAAAATGAAATCAAAATGATATCCAGAACAAACTAATAACACCCGAGGAATAAAAAAAATTTCAATTGACAAAAACACCCTGTTGAAAACATGTCAAAACAAAAGGCCTCATTCGACTCCAAAGTTTCGGACAAAGTTTCGGACTGATGATTCCATCAAGCCTGTTGTTTATTACCAAATATTATTTTATTTGTTTTTTTGTGTAATCAAATTCACTTTTTGATGCCAATCCGCTCACACTTCAAGAAAAGAAAACATTACGTAAGCCCGCACCCCACAGAAGAATTTTTTTGGTATCCAGGTAAAAGCCATTGTTTTTCTCTGCCAGTCTACCACTTTCAACAAATATCGACCGAGATTCATGGCCTCCACATGCCTTCCGAGAGACAGAGAGAGAGAGAGTTGCACACAAAAGCCATGCACCAATCAATGGTGAACGCAAATTTGATCGTCTAACCAGCTGTGAAGTTCTCCATCCACACATACGCACGTCCTTGAACAGTATGCAAATCTAGCACCGCCGCGATCGGGAGACTTACAACAATCAGTTAAATATTCATATCTCAAATTGCGCTAAAATACGTTTGAACCAAATGAAAACTGCTGGTCGCCACATCCTGAACCTCCGCTTTCCTTGAAGGGACCATTCACTCTGTTTGTGGTTGACAATGGGACAAACGTCGACCAAAGCTAATGGTTATTATACTTGGTCGCAAAACCAGTCATCACTTCGCGGAGACAAAGTTGTCTGCCAACAGCGGCTAACTCGGGAGAGAGTTGATTCCGATGAACCTGATAGACGCCACTATGGGGCTGTCAAAGACAAACAAATCTTTTCATCCACCAAACGGGCTTTGACAAACTGGATAGTCGAGGAAGCCCCGAACTATATAGTGAGGGTTAGAAGTGCGAACAAAGGGAAAGGTTACAAGGATGTGCATGCCGATTTGATGTCAAGGGAATCTGGTACCATACAGAATGAAAACCACGGTAAGTTAAACAACATTGAGATGAATGGCCAAAAATTCACTTTTTCAAAGTTTCCGTATCGGTTGGTTTTGTCAACATAAGATTAAAACTTGATCACGGAACCGGTAACAACATTATGTTGGGTTTAATTGGATACAGTACTGATTTCAGGATCCTGACTTTGCAGAACTGCAGCAAAGGCGTGATCTATGGTTTAAAATTTCTGACTGCAATCAGTGGGATGGTTTTTTTCCTCCAGCCTTGGGAAGCTCATTTTATTTTTGCAATGCACTACTCATAAGGTTGCTAAAAACTCCCCATTTCATTTTGTCAACGTCACGTTGTCTAGGAAACTTCTAGTAAGCTTGCTGGAGCTGGCAAAACGCTTATGAGGTTGCGCAACTAGCGTGTGTTTTTTTCTCTTCAAGGCAAATTCATAACAAAGGGCAACAGCTAGTGCGGTGGGACGCAAGCAAAGATGACATTGTAAACAAGAAAGTTAGGTGTAGTGAGCAACTTTCAAAATACTGACCTTCTTACTTAGGAAAATACAACAGTGACATTCCAGGACTAAGATGGTAAGTTCTGATGGCGCAAGATTTGGGAACGTTTAGTCATCAGCGAAGAAAAACAGTAAAAAGCGAATCGTAGCGTGAGCCTGGTTGAAGGATGAGTGAAACCACTTGGAACATTCAAGTGAACATAGTGGGAGGTTGTTTAGCTTAGCAGATCATCACTGACGAGCAGGAAAAAGCAAAACAAAGGTGTCTACAAAGTTGTGGACACCGTGATAACTGAGTGTTTGGGGGATAGAAGAGACAAAATAAAGGCACAGTAATGGCAAATCGAGAGGCAACTGAGACACCGTATGCTCATTAACATACGGCCAATCTACAGGAGGTGTCTTGTTAGCGTCAGTAGGTGTGTGTGTGTGTGGGGGGGGGGGTAGAATGAGAAGATCCCGTCTGTGGTTAGTACAGAGTTGGGATCTGATGAATGCTGGCCCACATGAGGTAGAGAAAATCGTCTGAATATAACTAATTTAGCCGATTCAATCTTCGTCTTCGCAAAATCTTACACCCCCCTAATATGAGTGTTGCATTTCTATGCCAGTGGGTCGAAAAACATAATTCCTTTATGAGGATCGCGAGCATTGACTGATGACCAACATTTGAGGGACAAACATATGGTGGGCGGGAAAATACCTCAGGTCACTGAAGTCCAATCTTTGAACGAAGTATTTATTTGACCTGTTGAAGTCACCCGTGAAGATATATCAGAAGAGTCAGCAAAAACGATGGCCACAAAGCTGACATTTTTGTCAACCGGAGAGGCGCTGAAACCTGGGAAGGTCTTTAGAAAAGTTGATTACTAGGTTCGCACTGGATCAATCAAAACTACTTTGTGTTTGGACAGCAGTCATACACCATTTAATGCACAAATTCGGCCCACTAGTTCGATCATGGTGGATCATGGTAAAAAGGAACTCATTTGAACCGATTTTCCCTCGGCATCTTAATGAAGCCTCTTCTTCTTATGCATGGTTGCTCCAGTGCACTTGTATCTAGAAGTCCAATAATTTTCTCATCGCTTATAAAACCCAGTTACAAAGAACAGGTAATTGTTTTCGGTCTGGCAGAAAATTGTCAGAGTGTGTGAGCTTTGAGCATGTTCATAGGATCTTGGAAACCAATCTTCCAATCCCATCTATCATCATATGTCCGTTCCCACCAAGCTGCGCGACTGTTAGACACGATGTTGGAGCAGTACCTGACATAACATCTGACCTATAAAAAGATATCGGTCTGGTTAGTCCGTTCTGGATTTCGCACGCACTGGTGGTAAGCACTCCGCGTATGACGAAACTCGACGGTACCGTGTTTGGAGCTAGGGTGAAGTTATAACGGTGGATGAGGAAGGTAAGGGATTCGTGTTGCCTCTCATCTTTTTATTCGTCAACCCACTGCTACCCAAGATTTACTGTAATCTATATCGGGTGCTGGATAAACAGTTCGTTGAAATCTTACTCATTTGGCTCATTGTGAAAAGAACTATTCCTGAGGCATAAATGTTGATATTTTTCCCTCTCAGAAAGTGTATTGGCCCATTTTGAACATTTAAAAGATTTGAATATGCATTCCTGTGGGTTACGAATTTTTCCACGGACTTTTTCCCTTAGATCATGCAAAACGTTTTGGTTAGAACCGCAGTTCGTAGTCAGCGCAAGTCACTTAATAAAGACAGTCATTTCAGTCTGTCTTAAGGGCTACCCATAATTAAGAGCGGGGTGTGCATTTGGATAGGTGTATACATTTCTATGCGTACATTAGGCCCAACTCATCGTCCTTGCATGTACAGTCGAACTACGTAATCCTACCTATTGACTGCAGTCCGTCAAACACAAATCCACAAGAAACTAATACGAAAATGGTAAGGGAGGTTTCTATTATTTCTATAAAGTTACAGTTAATGTTTTTCATCCGAATTCTCGCAAACCTACCTGCTATTACCATGGGTTCTAGAGTTTTCTTTCTATATTTCACCGTTTATATTTGTGGTCATTCACAACAAATGTTCAAATCAGCATGAAACCTGAGATTCTGTGGAACAAAGAAATTCCCCCACAGTGGTACGAGATTTACTACACACGCCGGCTTTGTTACAATTTCTGCCACGCAAATATCAGAGTTTCGGCAACACCTTGGATTTACTGTCAACCAACGCTCAACAAGGAATCATCTGCTTCTGTGGTAGTCCGCCATTTAGAATTTCCTCATGTATAAGTGCAAGAAAATTAGGGTAGCTCTGCCGCGTTTACCTTAGCGAATGCCTCATCTCTCATGGCCAGCAGTGGTGCCTAGTGTACACTTTAATGTTTCCTTAAAAATACCCGCAAGAAAGCTCAGCTTCTTCCTGCAGAAAAATCTCGCCAATAGGAACCACACTTTCAAAGGATTTTCTCTGTGAATTTTTGAATATACGGAAAAACTGGCGTTTTGCTTCATCTTCAGAGTTTTTATCTGCTTCATACTACGTGAAATTCTCGAGCAAGGAATAAAACCTCCTGTGTGTGTGAACCACGCTCATAAGTGTATTCGGAGTTGTCTCTTTTACGCTTGATTGGGGCTCGGCTTTGAAGACTGTGACTGATTACACCACCTTTAACTTGGTCTGCCCAAGTGATCATTACACGAGAGGTCGCACAATCTGAATAGTGCTCGGACGCTGGTCTTCTGCGTCAAACTCAACTTCACTGACAACACCTTCTTTGAATTCCACCCAACGCACCCGTAATGATATGGTCTTCTACATACAGGGTTAGGATTTGCCGCACTTCTACAATTTTCTCACCGTAGTCGTCATTTTGTTTGATACGGCAACCAAACACGCAAAAGTTTCGTTTATGATATGGCCTTCTACATACAAGGTTAGGATTTGCTGCACTTCTACGCACTTCTTCTCTCCGTAGTCGTCATTTTGGGTGACACGGCAACCAAACACGCAAAAGTTTCGTTTAGCATTGCACACTGCCAGTATAGAGTGGGCGGATGACTCAACGAGTAGGTGAGCGGCATTCATAAAAAATGAAGATATTTGGACCTAAAGAGATCTCCTTTGTTGCCAATATCTTTATGGTGCAAAAAATACCCAGCGGATCTCAAAAGATGGGCAAAGATCTACCACGTGAAGTTGCCGAAATTCATGTGAGTGCTTGGTGCAACTCGCAGCCTTTACGTGCATCGGTTCATAAAACTATCCGACTTTTGACTTATATCCTCGGCCGGTGATGGGGATGGCGAGAAACCAATTGAAGACCATAAACTTGTTTTTTTCGTTCATCTTAAAACTGAAACAAGAAGGCCGATATAGTTTCTTTAGGTCACACAGGTCGCAGTTACAAGCTGTTCCATCTAGTGAGTCACATTGCCCGGAAAATCCGCACCGGGAGAAATCCCTCTCCCGATGGGAGTTTTCTTCGGAAACTATGTACTATGATCAATCAATGACTTTATATTCAACGTACCATGTGAAAGCATACTGGTAGTATTCTACCCAAGACTCTGGAGAACTTTTAGAAGTGTGTGCGAGTCTTTATGTCCCACGGCATGCAGACTTCTCAAGGAGTTCGTATCTTCAAGTTATCTTTTGAGAATTAAAGTAACGTTTATCTCTATTATCTACATTTTTACTTAGTCCATCTGGCTGTCAGTAGTTTTGTCTTGATTGCATGCACTCACGGACATGGGAAAATATAAATTCCGATTTTGAGTTCTGATCACTGTTTGGTATCCAGTTGCTGCTTTTGATAATGCTTCTCCGTGAGAACAAAAAAACACCTGGTCTACTTTACTGGTTAGCCAGGAAGTTTTTGATTTTCTAGCAGAATGCAAAATTTCAGACCGTATCAAACCATTGGTTTTATGCCTCTAGATTAAACCAGTAGTGATCTACACCCGATTTCACTTTCAACAATCTTTTACTAAAAAGCACGTGTGTAACCCATCACTGACCATGTCTGTGACTGTGGAACTTATTTTCAACATGTCTTGCGACTGATCTGGGGAAATCGACCAAAAAGATGCAATTTTTCCATCTTCCCTCCTTACCTCCGTATGTTTTCTATAGAATAGGCCTATTCTGAATTTGTGATTAAGTTCTCCAGTAGAAAGTTGTAGTGAATTATCAGAAAACCAGTCAAGGGTTGTCTGATGACGCCATTATCTCTTGAGGACGATTCTCTCTTGAGGACGGAAATCGATCGATCGAATAGAACCCGAATAGATACTGAGAAGGCAGCCTTAAATAGGTTTTCTTAGGTAGTCGTAATGAATCTTGATAATTTTTTACCTAAAATTGTCGTGAAATCATCAGTTACTACTAGAGAATACTCTACTTCCGACTGGAGAATTTGACGTTAACCAATAGTTGCCAGTTGTGATGAAGCATTCCCCAAT